GCTGTACGCCGGCTCCCTCGGCCAGTAAAGCGAGTTGAGTGCCACAACCCCAGAGTCGGTCACGACTGGACCTCATGGTCAGGGGTCCCTTTACCTTTTAAGGTGTAAACTACAGTTCTGCAGATTCTTTGGGAGAATCCCTGTGTGTTAAATGTATACAGTGGATGTGGGCATTCTGAGCATATGTTGGCGTTTGTCTGCATGGCGTCTTCCCCAGTGCTTAAGCAAGAGGCAGTCACTGTTCAGAATCCCATAGGTGGTGCAGAGGACTATCTGTATGAAACAGCCCTGCTGGAGTGGGTGGGCAAATGCCAGCATCTGAGGGGCTGCACAACCTAGAAACTGGATCTTTGTGAATTTTGACCTAAGCTTATAGAGGTAACGCAAACTTGTAGAAGGCAAACTTCGCACCAGACGTGCAACAGTATGTCAAGGAGCGTTATACTTGCTTTCCCTGACCTGTTGCCTTCTTGGCTAGAAAACAGGGTTTTCCCCCTGACTTTTTGTCCTTTCACAATCTGTTTGCTAGACATATCGCTTGGCTGGAGCATGGCGGGGAACACAGATGTAATCAAGTATTGGGGAAAACATTCAAGGGAAGCACCTCCTGATAGGTGTATTTGCTAACGCCGGAAATGCGCATAGATGGAAATATGTTAAGTTCAGGATGGTTTCACTACTGTTTCCAATTGTTGACTTCTGCTAATAAAATGAGCCTCTGCAGAGCTAGCCGGCAGCTTGCTTGGAACATGCTTGCCAGCTTGCTCCTGCACAGCTCACGTGCATTACCAACTCCTGTCTCATGCCATCACTTCATAAGCTGACTTGATACGCTACTCCTACACTAATGGGAGGCTCTGAACATAGCTATCCATTTTGCACTTCCAAGTAAAGCTTCTGCTTTGCATGTAGAAGGTCCCAGGTTCAATCCCCAGCATCTCCAGGCAGCGCTGGGGAAAGACTCCTGGCCTGAAACCCTGAAGAGCTGCTACCAGGCAGTGTAGACCCTACTGAGCTAGACAGAGCAAAGGTGGGAGCTTCCAGATCTCCCGAAAGTAGTGCTGCAGGACATGCCAAAATGCACTGGATGTGTTTTGAGAGGAATGCATTTTTGGAGGGAGGGCGGGATACATTTTTTGAGGATGAAAATAAAAACAATAATTTTCTTAAAAATACACATTAATGCAGAGATGGGTCAGAATGGACTCCAGAATGAACACTTCCAAAAGTGGCACAAGCCAGAAAGAGTCTGATCTGTCCATCTCCAAGACAAGCCTGCATTTCCAATAAGTGCTTATAGGATAGGGACACCCAGTGTAAGAAAGTAAGATGAGCCTGCAGGATCAGGCCAGTGGCCATCGAGTGCAGGATCCTGTTCTCATGGTGGCCAACCAGATGCCTCTGGGGAGTGTATGAGCAGGACCTGAGTACAACAGCAGCCTCCCCACTTGTCATCCTTAAACAACAGACATTCAGAATCACACTATCTCCAAAAGTGGAGGGAATAGGTAATGTCAGGGACTGGACTGAAGAGGAGGAAGAATGGTGGAGGTCTTCCCCACCTTCTCCTGTAGCTTCCAGAGAGAAGGAAGGCAATCTCGAGTTACAGCAGGGCTTTGAGGAAGATTGCAGCTCAGAGACAGGCAAACAGCAGAGCTATACAGTGTCAGGAGAAGGAGGAGGGGAGGCAGAGCAGATAGCTGACATGTCACTGGACAACATACCCAACCCCCCTTCTCCCAAAATGTGGCATTCATTAAGGGTGCAAGGACAAAGAGCACAGAGACAATTGTCCACAGACAGACGCCGTGGAAGCAGGTGTTGTTGCTGGGGGGGAGGGGAGCTCAGTGCGAGCAGCTCCATTATGGAGGAATGACCGGAATTCTTTATCTTTCACCGTGATGTCTGAATAAATCCTAGTAAGAACTTTCTTGTTTCCTCCCTGCTTCTTGGTGCCGTCAGGGGAGGGAGAGAATTCCTCAAGCCTGACAGGTAATATCCTAATTTAAACCATCATCGTATAGTTATGGTACAGTTGTAGCCCCCCTGCCCATACCTGGTGCATACCTTCCAACATTTCTCCGATGAAAATAGGGACGTCCTGTTGTTGTATTATTATTATTATTATTATTATTATTATACCTTGTCCATCTGACTGGGTTGCCTCAGCCACTCTGGACGGCTTCCAACATATATTAAAGCATAATAAAACATTAAACATTTTTTAAAAGCTTCCCTACACAGGGCTGCCTTCAGATGTCTTCTAAAGGTTGTATTGTTACTTATCTCCTTGGCTCGGGGGTCACATACATTTCACCGATGGAAATAGGGATGTCCCTAAGGAAAAGCAGGACATTCCAGGATCAAATCAGAAACTGGGACAGCTTCTGTAAATCCGGGGCTGTCCCTGGAAAATAGGAACACTTGGAGGGTCTGCTGGTGCTCAGGACAACAACAGGAGGTGTTAGCTGTCCTTTTTAAAATAATAATAATAGTAATAATTCCACAATCCCCTCATGTAACATCGCTCTGAAGCATTATGGGAAATTAACAAAGCAGCTCTCAGAAACCCAATACAGCTGATTGCCAATTAAGCCTCCCAGGGCCCATCCAAAGAGGGCAGCTGCTCTGTTCAGGCCCCCTAAAACCCAGAACTGGCTCTCAAGTGATGAAGCAAAGCTCTCTAGCTATGAATATGCTTTAATGCAGGGCTGCGGTGTCAGTCCTCTTGACAGCCTCCGGCAGAAGAGAGTTGGGAAGGGTCAAGCATCATTTGAGTTGGGAAATATCCTCCGAAGGCTAATTAACAAGAACCATTGTCAATATAAAGAAACACGAGAAGGTAAAAACAACCTTTGTTCTTCGGAAGGAGGTGATGCCATCATGTCTGCCATTAAACCACAAGGGCGTGTCTGCCAATTTTGAGAACTAGCAAAAGGGTCTCGCTTCCCAGACAAATGCGATATGTCAGAAGCAAAGCCAACCTTGCGCTTGAAACCTGCTTAATTTAAATCCCAGGCACTTAATGTCCATTAGCTATCTGTAACAACTGCTGATTTATTTGCAAGGTGGTAGGCTGTTAAAATCCCTGATCTGTAGTAACTCAGATGTAGATTTGTCACTCCCCCTCTATGGCTTCGTTGGGAGCTGCTAGGATCTGTCTGTGGCTGCCCCGTGTGGACAACCACTGAACTGCAGTTTGGCAGCCTTCTGCATGCGGCAACTTCCTGGACTGACTCCTCCCACCCCGACTCCCCATTGGATTATTCTGAGCCGGAAGGGGGAGAAAACAATTGAGAATATAAAAACCATATGAAGAGAGGTATGAGGAGGTCCGGGAAACAAGCCAAGGAAAAATAAGTAATGGAAAAATTGAGTGGTTTTTAATCATTTTTATTTTGTATTTTCTTTTTCATTTTTATATTGTAACTTTGTATCTTTTTTTTCTTTTTCATTTTTATATTGTAATTATCTGAAAATCTTAATAAATATCTTATAAAAAGAAAAAAAGAAGAAGAGCCTGCCATATCAGGCCAATGGCCCATCTAGTCCAAAATCTTACAGTGTCCAACCAGACACTTGTGGACCTAAAGGGAGAATTAGAGCACAACAGCACATCTCCCCGATTGTGATCCCCATTGTGCATGGTCCAGTTTTTGAATGCATGGAGAAGGGCCATAGCTGAGTCTTGCATGCTGAAGGATGCCCTGATGAGACTGGGAATGTTCACTGCCTCAAATATTGGACAAACAGTCATTGTATACAAGACAAGACAGGGCTCAAAGGACTAAAGGTCTGACTCATTATATGGCATCTTCCTGTGCTCCTAATCTTAGACCTTTGCCCAGTGAAACTAGAATCCAGGATGCTCAATACACAGGGCAATGTGACCTTTCATGTATTGTTGGACTCCAACACCCATCAGCCCCAGCCATCCTGACCATTGGCCAGGGATGATGGGAGCTGGTGTTCAACAACGTCTGCAGGGCTGCAGGTTCTCCAGACCTGCCATACAAGCACAAAGGAATTGTTGTTGGCATCTGTCTGTCTTGAGAAACAATGGCGTACGCCTCTGGGAATGAACTCAAACTGCTGTGTTAGCCTCCTTCCCAAAGCCTAGTACAGTGGTACCTCGGGTTAAGAACTTAATTCGTTCTGGAGGTCCGTTCTTAACCTGAAACTGTTCTTAACCTGAGGTACTGCTTTAGCTAATGAGGCCTCCCGCTGCCGCTGCGCGATTTCTGTTTTCATCGTGAAGCAAAGTTCTTAACCCGAGGTACTATTTCTGGGTTAGCGGAGTCTGTAACCTGAAGCGTCTGTAACCTGAAGCATCTGTAACCCGAGATACCACTGTAAGTGTTTCTTTTGGGCTCTGACAGAGTCCTAGAGTCCTCCTGCATCCTTCCCAAAGCTTTCCCAGCAAGAGGGCTCTACGACCCTGCCAGAGACTTGGATCTCCTTCCCCAAGCCCTGTGCCTCCCTTACCAGGATTTGGGAAGGCACCATAAGGATGGGGTGGGGAGGGAGTGTCAAATTGTGGGCCCACACAGGGCGCTATATTATCATGGTCTGCCCTTGCCACCATCCCTGACCTTTCACCTTGCCGAGCCTGCTAGGAGTTAGAATCCAGCAATGACTGGAAGCCACTACTTTAGATAGCTCTCATTGAAGCCATGGGGAATATGGCAAGTGCTTGCCACAGCTCTGATTTTGCTTGACAGTTCCAGAACCATTTGACCAACATCAATGGTTTATAAGGAACACAGGAAGCTCTCTTATCTGAATCAGATCATTAGTCCATCTAGTTTAGTACTGTCTCCACCAGGATTTCCCAAACTTGTTGTTGGACTACAACTCGCATCATCCCTAGCTAGCAGGACCAGCAGTCAGGGATGATGGGAACTGAAGCCCAAGAGCAGCTGGAGACCTAAGTTTGGGAAACCCTGGTCTACAGGGACTGGCAATGACCACTCAGGATTTCAGGCAGGAGGCTATTGACCTGGAGATGCCATTAGATATTGAAACTTGGTCCTTCTGTATGCAAAGCAGATGCTCTACCACTCAGCCACCCTCTTTCTTCCTCTTTCATGCCTTGTTGGGGTTTTGGCAACTTAATGACAAGGCTGGGACAGGACCTTAATTCATATTGCCTGTCAGTGTTTATTAGAGTTAATGCTATATCCATTCGTAACCCTCCTTCCTTTTGCTTCTGGTTGCAGATCCATTCCCAAACCTGTATTCATCCTGGCTTTCAATCAAGGAAGATTACAGGGTTGCACCGGCAAAATTGCACATTGCTTTTCAAAGCAAATCTCTATTTATAAATAATTCCAAGCCGATAGCTATTGGGAAGTAGGACTTTTAATTGATACTTTGCAGTGAGATATAGGACGTAGCTTTCTTCTTTTGATGAAGATGAGTGTCAGTCATTTATGAAGCTCCGGATAAACTGCCTATTAAGCTATTTTTACATTCCTCCTCGTCTTTAATGCTACTTACATAGCTCACAATTAGAAAGTTTAAAAGAATAAACAGAGCGGGGGTGTCGTGGGGGGGGGGGAGACGTTTCAGATCCAGAGAGTTGCTGCCAGAAGCAGAGTGCCTGTGAATGCTGGTTCCTGGGGACTACAAATGAGAAAAGCCTTGTTGCATTCAGGTTTTGCTTGTGAGCTTCCCAGAGGTCATCTGGTTGACTAATGTGAGAACAGGATGCTGGACTAGATGGGTCTTTGGCCCGATCCAGCAGGACTCTTCTCAGGTGTTTATGGAATTTGGACTACTACAATGCGCTCTCCGTGGGGCTACCTTTGAAGGTGACCCGGAAACTGCAATTAATCCAGAATGCGGCAGCTAGACTGGTGACTAGGACTGGCTGCCGGGACCACATAACACTGGTCCTGAGAGATTGGCTCCCAGTACGTTTCTGAGCACAATTCAAAGTGTTGGTGCTGACCTTTAAAGTCCTAAACGGCCTCGGTCCTGTATACCTGAAGGGACGTCTCCACCCCCATCGTTCAGCCGAGACACTGAGATTCAGCTCCAAGGGCCTCTGGCGGTTCCCTCATTGCGAGAAGTGAGGTTACAGGGAACCAGACAGAGGGCCTTCTCGGTAGTGGCACCCACCCTGTGGAATGCCCTCACATCAGATATCAAGGAAATAAACAACTTTTAGAAGTTTTAGAAGACATCTGAAGGCAGCCCTGTTTAGGCATGTTTTTAATATTTAATGCTGTATTGTTTTTAACACTCGATTGGGAGCCGCCCAGAGTGGCTGGGGAAACTCAGCCAGATGGGCGGGGTATAAATATATTATTATTATTATTATTTGCTATCACATAACCGTCTTGTCTATTTATGACAGCTGTGGACCACCTCCAGTATCTGATGCAGTATGGAGTATTAGGGGAGGGGTAGTACCTCGGGGGGGACACACACACTGTGCTCTTTCTGGGGTAGCTTGTCCACCTTTGGTCATAGAATCATAGAATCATAGAGTTGGAAGAGACCACAAGGGCCATCGAGTCCAACCCCCTGCCAAGCAGGAAACACCGTCAGAGCACTCCTGACATATGGTTGTCAAGCCTCTGCTTAAAGACCTCCAAAGAAGGAGACTCCACCACACTCCTTGGCAGCAAATTCCACTGTCAAACAGCTCTTACTGTCAGGAAGTTCTTCCTAATGTTTAGGTGGAATCTTCTTTCTTGTAGTTTGGATCCATTGCTCCGTGTCCGCTTCTCTGGAGCAGCAGAAAACAACCTTTCTCCCTCCTCTATGTGACATCCTTTTATATATTTGAACATGGCTATCATATCACCCCTTAACCTCCTCTTCTCCAGGCTAAACATGCCCAGCTCTCTTAGCCGTTCCTCATAAGGCATCGTTTCCAGGCCTTTGACCATTTTGGTTGCCCTCCTCTGGACACGTTCCAGTTTGTCAGTGTCCTTCTTGAACTGTGGTGCCCAGAACTGGACACAGTACTCCAGGTGAGGTCTGACCAGAGCAGAATACAGTGGCACTATTACTTCCCTTGATCTAGATGCTATACTCCTATTGATGCAGCCCAGAATTTCATAGGCTTTTTTTAGCTGCCACGTCACACTGTTGGCTCATGTCAAGTTTGTGGTCAACCAAGACTCCTAGATCCTTTTCACATGTACTGCTCTCAAGCCAGGTGTCCCCCATCTTGTATTTGTGCCTCTCATTTTTTTTGCCCAAGTGCAATACTTTACATTTCTCCCTGTTAAAATTCATCTTGTTTGTTTTGGCCCAGTTCTCTAATCTGTCAAGGTCGTTTTGAAGTGTGATCCTGTCCTCTGGGGTGTTAGCCACCCCTCCCAATTTGGTGTCATCTGCAAATTTGATCAGGATGCCCTTGAGTCCATCATCCAAGTCGTTGATAAAGATGTTGAATAAGACCGGGCCCAAGACAGAACCCTGTGGCACCCCACTAGTCACTCTTCTCCAGGATGAAGAGGAACCATAGATGAGCACCCTTTGGGTTCGGTCAGTCAGCCAGTTACAAATCCACTGAGTGGTCCCCCACCCTGCACTCAGCTCTCATCTGTGGCTCCGATGAGCTGTCAGTATCAGGCTTCAGGGAATCCGATCCCTGAAGCCTGTGGCAGCTAAGAAGCATATAAACAAGAGGAGCTCTTACCAAGTCTTTTATTCAATATTCACAGAGAGAAAGAGAGTGTGTAGAAATGCAGTCTCTCTTAGATAATGGCATTGCTCTGAGTAAAGTCCCACCCCCTCTGCCTCTCCTATTATAAGACATCCCTGCGTCGGATGATCTGTGCTTTCTGCCTCTGAGCTTTCTGTTCTACTACTCTCAATGCACGCCAGGTCCTGGGAGAAGGGAGGTCAGGAATGCTTTCTAAAGACACTGAGTCTGCCAGCTGTCTCTCCCCTGGTGCTGCTTTTTCCTGCTGCTCTCCCAATATTTCCGAACTTCTCCCCTCTTCAGCCTCTGAGCTATGACCTTTTGCAAACCACTGTTCTAAATCTATACTGTCCTCCTCTTCTTGGGAAGGTTCAGGAAGAGGTGGGGCAGTCCCCACCATTCCTCCTCAGTCCAGTCCCTGACATCCAGCATGCAGCAGTGGCCACACCCCAGGAACGGCTTCAACTGGCTGGCTAAACCAGGTGAGGGTAGCTGATGGGTCTCAAACCTCAGTGAGTTATGGGCTTCCCCTGCATGCGAAGGCAGGCTCTGGTGGATTGAGCGGATGAGACCAATTCTGGGTCCAGTGGTCAAGAAGGCTGTTTCTGCACAGGCTTTAGAGGAAAGTGAGAGGCAGATGGGGCTTGTCAACCTGAGGAGGTAGCCCATCTAAGAGAAGGAAAACTCTGATCCTAAACCTCCACCACCTTTGGGAGAAGAAAAGGCCGAGGAGTAAACCCTACATAAATCTGGAGTGGAGTCCCCAAGAGGTTTGGATGGCACCTTGTAAGGAAAGGTTGTTGCATCTGGGACTTTTTAATTTAGAGAAAAGGCAAGCAAGAGGTGACATGATAGAAGTTTATAAAATTATGCAAGGCATGGAGAAAGTGGATAGAAAGAAACATTCTTCATTCATAACACCAGAACTTGTGCACATCCAATGAAACTGATGGTTGGAAGATTCGGCATAAAAGAAAGTACTTCTTCATACAGTGCATAGTTAAACTATAGAACTTGCTACCACAGGAGGTGGGGATGGGTGGTGCTGTGGTCTAAACCACAGAGCTTAGTGCTTGCCAATCAGAAGGTTGGCGGTTCGAATCCCTGTGGCGGGGTGAGCTCCCATTGCTCTGTCCCTGCTCCTGCCCACCTAGCAGTTTGAAAGCATGTCAAAGTGGAAGTAGATAAATAGGTACCACTCCAACAAAAAGGTAAACGGCGTTTCCGTGCACTGCTCTGGTTCACCAGAAGCAGCTTAGTCATGCTGGCCACATGACCCGGAAGCTGTTGCTCGGCCTATAGAGAGAGATGAGCGCGCAACCCCAGAGTTGTCCGCAACTGGAGCTTATGGTCAGGGGTCCCTTTACCTCTACCTTTACCACAGTAGTAGGGGCAGCCACCAGTTTAGATGTCTCTAAAAGAGGATGTGACAAATTCATGGAGGAGAAGACTATCCGTGGCAACTAGCTATGGTGGATAGTCTATACCTCCACCATCAGGAAACATAATGCTTCTAGACAGCATTTGCTGGAAACCACAGGATAGGAGCAAGCTCAGATCCTTTCAGGTTTCCCACAGGGATCTGGGTGGCCATTGTGAGAGCAGGCTGCTGAACTAAATGGGCCATTGGCCTGATCCAGCAGGCTCTTCTTTGCTGAATGGTTTCTTTAAATGTAAAGGTTCATCATTGTTGCACCCGATGTGTATGTCTTTAAGGGGCCAGAGCAAGGGCCAGAGCAAGATAACGAGACCCAGCTTTACAGCTGTGAAACATAGCAGGTGCTGCTGAGTTGTATTGATTAAGCTGTGTTGGCAATTGGGTGTAGTATATAAGGAGCAGCACCTAGCTCTCCCATTACCCTGGGGGATGGGTTGGTGGTTGGGGCATGTTTGTTTGTTGATGTATTTAGTGTATAAGGAGTTTTTGTTTTCGTTTTTCTTATTAAAACCTTGTTTAAGTTATTTTTGAGCCCCTTTTTAATGCATGGTCTCCCCAGCAAGCTATCTGCAGCGCTACTAAACTGCAAATAGCCAACATTCTTATGTTCTCATCTCCGGGATCTTGTCCATTGTCCGTAAGGGTACAGTATGTGACTGAAAAAGTCTCCCCAGTCCTGATTTATGTTCAATATGGGGCGATAGTGTGGAAAGGTCTTTGGTTTCAGCATTTGCTGAGGGTAAAGGGAAGCTTGCAGACACAGTAATGAACAGGATTGAGTCCTTCCTTCTGCTGCCAGTAACAACACTGCAAATAATAATTTGAGCAATAATTTCACACTAAAGATCGGCTTCATGATGGCGCAAGCAAATGCTGATGACATAAAACCCTACCCTGGATAAAGTGCTGATCCTGTTTTGTTAGATGTAGACAACATTTCTGGAAAAAATATTAATTTTCTGCTGTGTTC